CTGGTCGAGTTAAATGTGTCTTTGTGATATTAACGGTTTCACTGAATTACTCTCCAATCTGCAATATCTGTTCATCATCGGGGAAGTTAGAGCTGGAAGAGTCTGCTAAGAAAAATGTGAACTGACAAATAGCGAAGGGAATAGAGCTAAATGGATTTTATATCAATATTATTCTAACATCATAGTAGGATTTTGAATAGAATAAATCGTTAAAATTTGGTATTTACTACCATTCTAATTATTAAACCATGCCTCCTTCCAAACCTTCCTTCTTTTGAACAATGCCGTAGAATCATTGTTGAATGAGATTTTTTCCTATTGTACGGCTGCCATACGGAAACTTCTTATGCAGTGAAAAACTGGCCTGATTCAATTTACAGTCTCTAAATCGTATTTGGAAAGAAAGCCTAGTAAGGGTGTGGCAATGTGTCGAAACTTTAGTCTTTGCTTGTATAGCCCATGTAATTTGCATGCGGTAGCGGGAAACGCGAACATTGTTCCATCGAACAGCGCAAGGGAACTTTTGGTTACCGACGACCTTAGTGAGTCTACGGTAATGTGAACGAAAACGCGGCAATGCGAAAAGAAAGTCGGCTGAACGTATTTTGCGTAGATTGTGCGGTTGTTTGATGTTATCGCACAGTTAATGGCGCTGTGTTCATGCATCCGAACGTGCCAGAGAAGCGCTTCAACGATGTCAGGGAGTTAAGTGCGTGTTTTGAAATGTACAAGTGTTGAGTGGACAATATTTTCCAATCTTTTTGAACTCTTGTCATTAAACACTAAGTTACCCGGATGGTGTTCTCGATTGTAAGTTTCACACCTCATAATATCGGCAATGAATTTGTTCGTTTCGTTCCGTTCCATCGCACGAACGTCGTCACCTATCATAAATGTTGACCATCTTATAAGTCAGTAGCCGACAGAAATGTGACGACGTCGTTCGCAGCACTTAGAACACCGCGCGGACTTGCGACTACGGGACGCTAAATAGGAGGATTGTCGGCAAAAAGCCGGTATATCAGAGTAGTGGCGCAAGATTGGCGAAAGGAAAAGGTAGTACTTGGAAAGGATCAAGGCGTCCGCCGTTACTGAAAGAGAAGAGTGGTTCGTGAACGTTTTGATTGAAGGGAAAGGTTAATCCTGGCGTTTACGATTGCAATTTTCGAAACGTTTGTTTTACGAGAAAGGATTTTATCGTTCTTTATGAAGCTTTGTTAGTTATTCATTTGATTTTCCTTATTAGCGTATAGCTATATGGAAAATCAGATGAATAGCTATCAAAGCCTCATTTACCTCTTATAACACGAAAGCATACTGGATATAGTTTGGCCATTTTCCCCGAGTCCTTCCTCCGTGTCTTAAAACCGAGTTGGGGATGTTTTCATTTGCCAGATACGGTGA